TTGTATTGTTGTATTATTGTATTATAGTTGTTATTGTATTATTGTATTGTGTTGTATTATAGTATTATTGTATTAACATTATCATTGATATTATTATGTTTTATACATAATTTTGTTTCGTTGCTTTCTTATTTTTTGTTCTCTTCTCTGGATAAATAAATGTTGTGATGTCGTTCAAGTATATCATCTGCTCTACTCAGTGTTCTCTGTTTGCCTCACTTCAGCTATCTCTCCTCGGTCGTGACTTCGCCATCCTTCCGCCGACACGCGCATATGGCGAAGTGCGTAAGCACCTTTTAAAGGAATGAAAACAGTACAGATTATTCGGGAAATGTGAATGAGTTATAGTAGAGTAGTTATACGGCTGCAGTGAATGAGAGCAAAATGACGATGTGTGAAGCAGTAAGAGATTTGGTGACGTTTGGATGAGAGTGATAAGATATCGTTTGAAGTAGACATAATAGAAGGATTATGGAAAATGAACAGGTAGATGAACAGGTTTGATGGGGATTTGTTGCATTGTTTGGTATTGAAAATTTAATCTTTCTCTGTGCCTGCGTTTAGGTCTTGTGATCGTGAGATGTTTATGGTCAGATCAACAGATTTTATTGAATTGGTGTGAATTGATCATTTAAGCAAACAACAAAGAAGCCTACCCCCATTGGTAGTAAGTGGATGCTGAGGTTTTAGCAAGTCTCAATAGGTAGTTATGCAGCAATGTATGAAATCATAATTTGTGTGCTACCGTAAGCCCTAAAAAGGGACCTGAGGATGTTCCCAGGTACCAGTTTGAAAACATACGGAGATTGATTGTGTTAGGTCAAGTTCCATGTGCATCACCAGCAGCCAAAACGGGAAAATCAGCTGTTCCGATGCCGTATAGCTATAATTTGACTGAAGTTTCATCGGTTTGAAAACGTATGAGTTTCATGTCCACTTCATGTGCCTCTCCATTTCAATCTTTTTCAGTTCTTATGCGCATCAGCAGTTCTGAATGAATTCTAGAGTTCGTTCCAAAGCTTTCAAACTGTCAGTTTCTCCTGATGAAGATACTCGCATCGAATCTAAGCAATCTACTCCAACCGCAGAAAATGCGATCAAAAAGCGCAGAAGCTCTCGAAAGAGTAGTTTTTCAACGAACACTCCTCTTCGTTGCTCTCCAAGGTTTATTCATTTTCATGCCAGTCGTTTTCATTTCATTTATTAATATTCATTTATTCATCGAAAAATACTTCAGTTTTCATGCCAGTCGTTTTTAATTCCTTCTCTTTTAAGACAATCATAATATTTCGTTTTCCTAACTGATTATTACTGCTCCTTCATGAGGTATGACCTGAATAAAGATTTTTCGAAAGTGATACCACTTTAATAATTGCGATGGAGGTAAATAATCAAGCTATTCTTCGAAGTAGGGTTATCGTATTGTTAGTAGAACACATTTTCATCCATACCCTTGCTAGAATCAAATTCTCTTAGAGTCTAATAATTTTTAGAATCCAGCGAATCAAGGCCGTAAACTATAATATCCGAAGTCGTCGTTCTTTGGTGAATTCTTTGCATGAGAGAAACGAGGAGCACTGTTTACAAACGGAGTCGATCTTGAAAAGCGGTTACAGTGTAGTTAAAAATGAATTATCACAGGATGAATGCGATATTTTTGCAGGTGTGTGGGTGTTTGATAAAATGCCTCATTGTTTGCATTTTGTCATGAAATTGTTCTTTTAGCGTGATTTTTGAAGTTATTATCCGCGTGAAATTAACATTTCATACAAATGGATCATCTCTGAATGAATATCGTTTTCAAATGGGTTGTCTAATTCAATTTCTGGAGCGCTTTAGTACGTTTACTCGTTTTCTAAAGTTGAGAGTTATTAATTAGCTTCAGATTTATCAATGGAATGCAATGAGATGAACCAACCCCGGTCCAGCAATATCAATGATAATCAAAAGAACAGTATCGAGAATCGTCCAGTCCTTCTTCCAACAAGACAAAACGTTCGTTGCATGCTTTGCATCTTATTCTTAATAGTTTACTTTCACTGTTACAAAGAAATTATCCATTTTCTGGTCATTATTAGTTGGAAATTTGCAGAATTGTTAGTTCGAAACATTTGTAGTTCAATTTTAGTTATGTTATGATTTGTAATATGTATCGAAACTGACAGTAGGAATTATGTTTAGAATGATTGTTCTCGTGGAAAGAGTTCAAAAAGAACTTTCAGTCATCTTTACGTTATGTAAAGCTCAACATTAGTTCATTTGGTTTCTCTTGATTATTACTGCTCCATTTGCAGAGTATCAATGCTCCATCATTCACCTCGGCAAGCACGCTCTTTCACACTGATAAATATTCAATACCTCAGTCGTCACCTGAACAATTTTTATTTGTCGATCTCCCAAGGGACGTTGAAATACTGTATCGAGAAAAACGCAACATCAATGATCTTTATGGTATTTTTTTCAAAATTTCACTTGGTGATTTACCGATTCGAATATGTTTCGCTTCTATTTAGCTTTCACATTTTACTCTTACAATCAGCCGGTTAAAAAGTTGTTTTCAGAGTGGCAAAAAGAATGCCTTTCTGATCAAAAACTTTTGAATGGCGAAAATATGATCATCTCGTTACCAACTGGTGCTGGCAAAACACTGATTGCTGAGGTAATTTTTGCATTTGGACATCCTTTTTATATCCATTCATTTATTTTTATTTTACTTCATTGGATTGTTTCGGTGATACCGATGCCGTCGCGATAAACGAACTCTCCATCACAGCCGTACACTATTTTTGTCTATGCGTCGCGCTTAGTTCAGCAACTGATATCCATTTGTTGCTGCCCAAAGTATTGCTGTTCTCCATTCTGTCGTGCGATTGATGATTTTTTGGTGCTGTGATTGTTTTATTAATAGAAATGACATTAAAAGTTCATCACTTGGTCAGTAGTAACGGAAGTTGGGTCAGTGAAGAAGTTTTTGAATCAATTTATAAAGAATTATTTTTTGTTCGTATGGCGGAAGGATGATTTTTTTGGTTCGTATTTGTATAGTAATAATCGTTTTAAAATATTATGTACCGCTATCTACTATGATATAGTTCAAATGACGAAGTGAACAAATTCGATTTGCTCATATGTGATGAATAATATTTCAAAACTATAAACGCAGAGATTATTGTAGGTGTTGATGTTACGTGAAGCAGTCGTTAAGAAGAGAAGTTCAATTCTAATGCTTCCTTACGTGGCAATCGTTCAGGAGAAGGTTTTACAATCACTTTTCTTGATTCCAAAAACATTAAAATCCGTTGCTAAAATTTAAAATCTATTTTAAATCATCCAAGTAGAGATAATTCAGATGAATTTGAAATGTCATGCACTTTGAAATTCATTCCGCGCAATTAATGTTGTGTTATCGAAATGCTATTTTGTGATGGTGAACTTGAATAAATAGAGTTGAGGTTCACTCGCTATCGGTCTTCGAAGAACACTTGCCACTTCTCATCGAGGAATACGCTGCATCGAAAGGTGTGTTCCTAGTTCTGTTTAGTGGTTCGTTCCATATTTACTCAGGTGACCTACTTCATAAATGCTGTCTCGCTGAGTTCTGCTTTTTTGTGAGTTTGTCAATATTATTTTATTTGACTTCTGCATTGCCCTTTATCTTCGCGGTTTGTTACTGGCATCTCGACTTACTCACAGAGTGTTACGTTCATTTCTAGGTCGATTACCACCAATAAAACGTCGTAATAAAGTGTCTTTGTTTGTGGCTACCATCGAGAAAGCGAACATGCTAATTAATTCTTTGATTGAACAGGATCGTATCAATGAGATTGGACTGTTTGTTGTTGATGAGGTTACTTTATTTTTACTTTTCGATTTCATTTGTTACGTTGCTGAATTTATTTGTCTTTATATTTTTTAATGAGATTCAATTCGAAATTATTCGATCAAATTTGAATTCGAAATGGGGTTTCATTCGTGAGAATATCGCGAGACACTTTAACGACGTTATGTTAATGAATGATTCCGTTTTAGTTTCATATGCTTGGTGATGGCTGTCGTGGAGGGACCATCGAACAGGCACTCACAAAGTTTATGCAGAAAGGCGAGTAGTTTTTGGTAATTATTTGGCGATGTGATCAGCAGATTGAATAGCGTAATTAATGTTAAATGAGTTGATGCTAAACTGAATTTTGTGTATATTTGAGGAAGTGGACAGATTGTTGGAATGTCGGCAACGTTGGCGAATTTAAACGAATTGGCACTTTTCATTAGGTCATCCGTATTCTCCACCAATTTTCGTCCGGTGATTACTTCAGATTCGATTTTGATTCATTTTGAACTGATGAGAAAATCTTTCGGGCGAACACTACAAATCTTATGTTCGGTGTAATTAATATTTCGAAGAGTCATTACTTTTCTCAGTGTAAAGAAGTCGATTATGTCTCATTCAGGTTGAACTTACTGAACGAGTCAAGATTGATAATACGTTATACCGTGTCGACTGTGGTGGAAAATTAATACCTGAGCTGGATTTACCCGAGAATGTGGGTAACTTTCGAAATGAAGGACATTGTGATTCTAAGTTATTCTCAAAATTTTGTTTAAAAATAATATGTCTCTCCTGAAATTACTCTCATCTGTTGTTAGTACTTTTTTGAAATTCATAAATTTAGAAACTTGGCAATAGGGATCCTGACGGTTTGGTGACGTTGTTGAGAGATATTATACCACGTCGATCAGCAATTATATTCTGTCCAACCAAACAAAATTGTGAGAACGTATGTGCGTTGTTGACACGCTTGGTACCGAAGTTAGTGGTTTGTGAATTCCATTTTTTGTTTTTCTTCATTTTGATTCAGTTAATTTGACTGTGGCTTTTGAACGTATCATATGTTATATTTTATCGTTATTAAAACACTCATTGCGGTTAAAACGCCTCAAGATTCAAATCAAAATCCTCTTGAAAATGCTTTCTCCATTCCAATCTTTCAAAAATCTTAAAGTCTCAATTTGAATCACTCTAGCAATATTGTTGAGGTCATTGTGTGATATGCACACTCGTGAACGGCAGTTATCAGTGGTTGCGTTGAATGAAGAAAGCGATGGAAAGTTATCGCCAACACTTCGCAGAGGTGTTCTCTGTGGAGTGGCGTATCATCACAGTGGTCTAACGGCAGATGAACGACAAATTATTGAAAATGCATTCCAGGTGCTAGTTGCCATTATGAATACATTCGTTCGTTCATTCCCACTTCTGTTGACATTCCGTCTTCGGTGAGTATTCCGCATAGATCCGGACAATCTCTCAAACGCTTGATTGTTTGTAACAACGTTTAAACGAATTCCTCCAGGATGGTATAATAAGAATTTTGTGTTCAACATCCACACTCGCCGCTGGAGTGAATTTACCGGCGAGGCGAGTCATAATAAAGTCAGCGTTGATTGGTCGAGAACCACTCAAGAAAACACAATATTTACAAATGATTGGACGTGCCGGTCGAGCTGGATTCGACTGTAAGGGTGAAGCGATTACGATTGTGCATCGTGGGATGGAGGAAAAGAATGTCGGTTACTAGTATTATCATTTGTTTTTGTTTTATTGTAATATCGAATTTGATAGCAGTTCGTTACTTGTTTTCATTAGAGTTGCTTGTCGAAGTACTGTTCCTTCAGTTTCGTGCAATGTTGAGCGCTCCATTGATGGCATGCAAAAGTGCTTTCAGCGATAAATCAATACTCTCTTCATTCATCTTCGATTTGATCTCATTGAAGGTAAGAGTTATTCATATATTGTTGCCCTCCAGATTTAAAATTCACTCGTGTCAATTATGAACTAAATGTTCGTTGCGTGCGAGTTTTGGTTGTACAATCGGAACTAGTCACATTCTTGCGCTTTATTTCACGGTGTTGTTGGGCAAATTTATCGATCTGATGAATTTATCAAAAATTTTAGTGAATGAATGCAATTCATTTTTTTCGTTTTGTTGCACGGAGAAATTCTCACAGATGAAGTGTAACTTTCATACACTCATGCAGATTGCCAATTCGTTGGAGGAAATTGAAGGCATTCTCAAGATGACATTATACGGAATACAAAGTGGTAGTACACAGAGTGATATTAACGAATGCCTTCTGGAGTTAATGAATAGGAAGATGATACGTCAAAATTCGGTGAGATACATAGAATTCATTTCATCAGTTTTATTATTAGAGAATCATCTTCATTTCGAACAGAGTATTGTCATGCACTATTACTGTTTTAACTATTGATGGTAATTTTTTAATGTCGAAAAATCGAGGGTTGATCCATTTTTTTGCACAGCTCATTTCATTTATTTATTGTGCTTCAAAGTGAGTCATCTTTCAGGATGCTGAATACATTGTGACAACGTTGGGCGATGCAGCTTTCACAGCGAATATCACACCGATTGCTGCTCTTTCCATCAGTGAATCGCTTATCGAAAATTTATCAATGGTAAAATTTTCGAATTTTTAAATCAGTTCTGAATCAGCTAATTGAGGCTAGAAGAATTTATATACGTGNGTAAATATGGTTTGTTATGAACCATTTGATGATAGCAATTATGTGAAAGTCGTTTAAGGGTATTGTGTTATCGTCACATTTCCATTTGATCTACACGATTGTTCCTTTTGATATTTATATCGATGTGGATTGGGATATTTATTATGAAGAAGTAAGCTTTGAATTTATTATTTATTTTGTTCCTTGGAATTCCGCTCTTTGATTTGGATTCGATTGATAGTGACGACGTCAATTGGAATTCTTATTTTGCTGTGGTTTTTCTGCTTTGAATTTTGTCGATCGATTGTGTGATTTCAATTTTGTTTCAATGATAGTACCGAGCTCTCTCATCGAGTGAACATCGTTTGTTGGATACAATGGGCGTAGAAGAGAAGCATCTTGTCAAATATTTCCTTCAGCGACCGAAACTGGTAAATAAAATGATTCTATGTTATTATTCGCTGTAATTTTTTGTTTTTCATCAGAATTGAGTTGAATGCGATATTTATTTCTCGTAAAACTCCAGAGTGGATGTTACATTCCAGAGTCTTTATTTCCACAAGAATGAATTGGTGATCAAAATAGATGTTCGATAGTATAACAGAAGGAACTGTTGTATTGTTTTCAGTCTATTCATCCACTTTGACAGAAAGAATAGGTGTATGTATATTATCATAATGAACGGAATATATAACGATTCCAAGATCGGCAATAGTAATAATAATAATAATTCAGCCAGCTGGTGATTCAGCTCTTCGATTGTATCTGACGTTCATGATGAAAAGAATATGGAGTGAAGAGTCGATATGGAGTGTTGCTGAGCGCTTTCATGTTTCTCGTGGTTGGCTGCAGTCGACACTTCAGTCAACTTGCTCACAAGCGTCATCAATTGCACGATTCTCTGAGGTGAGTTACTGTTGACGCAAGATTGGAGTTTGAGTTATATCAAACGAGTAAGATGAAACGATGTTCAGAAAGTACCTCAGCTGTGGCCTTTGAAGCATCTGCTGCCCGATTTGGTACAACGACTGCGTGATTGTTGTCAGCAAGAGTTGATACCACTGCTTGCGATCGACGGTGTGAAAAGGGCTCGAGCACGAATGTTATACGATGCTGGTTCGTTTTTGTTTCTGTTGCATGACGAATGCCTGTGTTATTTCCAGATGGCGAAGAATAAAACGATGATTTTGTTTGTTGTTGCATTGTTCATAAACATCCACTATTTGAAGTTGTTCATGCTACGACTCGATTTCATTTTTTTTGGTCTATTAAGTATAGTCTATCCATATGCTGTTGGTAGCATCAGGCACTCATCATTACTTCAGTCAATTTTATTATTATCCGTTTCGAATTCAGGTTTCAAAACACCAGGTGCAATTGCATCAGCCGAACCAAGCAAGTTGGTCTCAGTAGTGGAACATCTGAACAAACGACAAGCTGCAAAGATGATTAGTAGCGCGCAGGTTGGCGATTTGTCTGTCGAAACCGAGATTAGTCGTTTTCTACTATTAGTGAATCTCAACTTGTGTTTGTTCCTCGCAAACAACCCCGTGATCCCGTCTTTGGATTCCATTCTCGGGATCGATATTCTGAAGGATGTGGAATATGATAACAAAGCTTTTTATATAATTTTGATGACAGTCGTCTTGAATTTCATATCAATCGTTCCAAATTCGCCCATATTCACTAATATTTGTTGTTCACCATCCAAACGGTACCAGCTGGACAAGTCGTTAGAAAATAGCGCCGCCTCAGCTTCCATTTTCCAGAAAGCAGTGAACAGAAATTTTGCAGTATCATCACTGTTGCTTATTCTTTCCTCATTGCCTTCCGTTCATGATCGTTCTTCAATTGATTTTTCAAACACTGCATGTGTTCTCTCGCTGAAAATGAGCAAGAATATTACTCTTTTAATCTTTCATGCAATCTTGACTTATAAATTCTCACCTCTGTTGAAGAACAAATGATGTGTTGTTGCAGATGTTGGTGCGTGATCAAATCGCTGAAAAAGTTGAAGAAATTGAGCAAATGGGGATTGCCGTACCACAGTTATGCTCTCAGTTGATGCCATAATGGATATTCAGACTAACTTATTGTTCAGTGATCCATTGATCACTAATTCGTCATCTTATTATTAATGCTCGAATTTAATTTTACGATTGTGCATGTTGTCGGTATTATGTTTGTGGTAGACGTACGCATAGAAACTAGCAACAGTCGGATATCTCGATTCTCTTCATTCTCTAATCCATTTGTAAATAGTTGGTATGGATTTGTTGAGTGGTCAGAATTTAGACATGAAAATGCCATTTGAGTGCGTTTCGCTTTTTGTGTGGAACGTGACTCAAAATAACGACTTGATTTGCGTTTATGTGAATATGTGAAACTTGATTATTTGTGATCTCATTTTGATAGAAAAAATTCATGTTTCGAATCACATTTCCAATGTTCACGTCTTTCAGTTTCTGACTTATTGCTCATAATAAGATTCTTCCAGTTTGTTTCGTTCGTCCACGGTTGTGAATTCAGTTTGTTGTTATTATTGCTGTTAGCCTATGTATCATCAATTTGATGTTAATAATAATCATTATCATTATCACCTCAGTTTGTATAGCAGTTTTTATCAACTGTTCGATTGGAGCATTAATAAACGAAATAGTTCTTGCAATAAAGTGAGTATGAACAGTGATTGATGTTCAGATACCGTTAAAGAGAAGGATTTTGAGGGGAGAGTAAAAATGTGCAATTGCTAGTTCATCAGCGGTTTTGAGCGCTTTTCACTTGGTGTGCGAGATGCGTGAAAATAGCCAAGTATAATGACATGTAAAGCAGGTCATTCCAATCCTGCACTTGGGTGTATACTTAAATCATGACACCTGAAAAGTACCCTCGACGGAGTGACAACTATTTATTGGTTCATTCACAGTCGCCTAATTCATAGCTCTTTGAGATGAATCCAGCTATCACTGTAAAGCGATAGAAATGTGTGTTGTATGACTGAGTGGTGCTTGAAATCATCAAATGATATATTATGCGTAAGACACTTCTGGAACAGGTCACTTCCACTGCTAGTTGCATTCGAACACTTTGAGACGGTCACGTCCGTTAGTCAGTTCATTAAACAAATGGAAGGTCTCTTCAGTCAACGAAAACGCATGTTGTCATTTATTACTGAGTTTTCAAAAGGAGCTATTCACGCAACATCGGTGAAGTAGGTTGAGATTTTGGCCTCACATCGTGCTGTCTAGATTGTGTATCTCCGCTGATATCAGTCGTATTTTATAAAGAGATGTATGTGAACGGCGCGAATGTGAGAAGCACCTTCACGTATATATATACACATTTATTCATTAGGGCTGTGAATTTAACGCATAAACAATAACAATTAGCACAGAGAATATCAAGAAGGATAATAGTACAAAAGCACTGAGAAGAATCGTTTTCTTATTACGCACTAAACAATTCGGCGTCGATCGCTCCTTCACCAGTTTTAATTTATTACCTTTATCGCGACCGTATTCGAAGATCACTTTCACTTTTTCGGTCGCTTGCTCTTCTGGTGGACTGAAAATAACAAATTACAGTGACAGTTCTGATTGCGAGCAAAAATAAACAAACAGTTTACTGCTTACAATTAGCAGTTCAAAATGTTTGAGTTTCATCCACATCCCATAATTCATATTTACAGTATGTGCAGTTGCAAATGTAACAATTAAAGCCATTCACAATTGAGCAGAAGAGTTAATTCGATGCTCATATGGTAGTTAATCGTCGGGCTTAACTCAATAAATGAATTAATTCTGAATTCAAATCAGTCAATCGCAATTTAAACGATCAATTTCATGGAGACAGCATTCAGCGTATTCGAATTAAAGGATGAATGAAATGAGGCAATGACAAAAGAAGGCAATTCGAAAGAAGATAGTAGCATTCAACAAGCGTATTTCAATCACTTTTGCAAACATTTAAATTCATCTTACAAAAGAAAATAATATTTTGTGCATTGTTTGATGTAGTTATTTGATTATTATAGCTACTATTACTTGTTGCAACACTGCAATTCATTCTCCTTCTTTCACTATGTGCCATTTCAGTTCTTTTGGCATGAACAAACGACTGCTGCATTAGATCGATAAGATGTAAGTCGTTACAATTGAAAGTTGTTAAGATGACCGCCTAAACAAAACAATCTATTATCAAAACAAACCTCAGAACAATAGTTGGTGGATGCGACTTTAAATTATTGCAATAAGATTTATTATTACTGTTGACTAAAAGTGGTTGTTTGGTTGGTGAAAATAAGGATGTTGACGCTTGAGATCGTTCTGCACTGCTGAAACGTTCAGTTTGTGGTTTATGCATTTAGCATGTTCTACAAATGTGCTTCAAAACATTTCATTCACCTGTCCCCTCTGAAACTATCACCAGTATTATAACATCCGAATTTCGTTCGTTTCACTCCAAAACGCTCGGCACAAACAAAACAACTCACTTTCTGATAACAGATTCGTTGATCGTATCTTTCGGAATATCGTAGCCATTCGCGCATCGTCGTCGTTCACTCGTCGTCGTTGCAATATAATGTTTTGTGCTGTTCGACAATCGCTGATAAACACTCGAGTCTGATGAGGGCACTTCCGCACTTTGTTTCGGCTTACTATATTCGTGTCTCAACTTGTCTTTACCGTTATCATTAGCAGTAATATTTGTACTGGATGCGTTACTGATTCTTTTCTGATTGCATTCTGATGGTTTACTGTAAGAGTGTGTTTTGGATTTCACGGACGTTGATGTTGCTGCTTCAATACCCGGATCAAAACTCATCTCTTCGATTCCTTAAAAATTGAAGTTCGAAACGAACGAAATACAGAGAAAAAAGAGATGAACGCCATGAGATCAATGCGAATAAAAGTGATGTGCTAACGCAACTGTAAACATCATTCATAAACGTATATGAGATTTTCATATGGAATAATCGTAGAAATTCGTTATCAAATACATTGCTGAGATTTATCAACCGCAATATCAGCCGCTCAGCAGTTGAATGTTCGCAAATAAAATTCTACTTATTCTTTAACAAACGAGCAAAACAATAGCAAAATACAATTGTGTGTTGTTCTGACTGAAAAAAATACGCAAAGAATTTATTGACAAGATATACTCGAAGATAAGCGAGGAATCACTGACTCAAAAATAGATTCAAATAAACTGATGCACTTGCAGCATATTGATCAAAAAACAAAAATTGAGTAGTTGAAAGAAGTTAATTATCAGTTGTAATGGCACTGAACTGAGAAAATTATAAGAGGTCATTATTATTATTATTATTATTATTATTGTTATTGTTATTATTATTATTATTATTATTATTGCGATCAATATTATACTGTAATTGATAGATGGAGAATGTGTTCGTCTTTCAACCGAACGAAGCAAAGGAATTGTAACATAAGGAACGGATTCGCTGCTGAATCAAATCCTCTGAGAATATAACTGAAATGGCATTGAATGAACTTGCATCTTCTTCAATCATACATCCAAAAACTGAAACGAAATTCAATCTGCTCAGAATGTTCATGTGAGCAGTCTTGATGAACCATGGTAGAACAATGTGAATTCATAGAAAAATTCTTAATGCAGTTTGTAACTTTATGCAGTGGGAAATAAATGGTGGACGCTCTGAGAGCATTCAAAAGATGTCTGAGTAAATTGTGAAATTGAGCTTGGCGTTGATTAGCGAGAATTTAATGTTATGACTGAAGCAAAAGTTTTGTGATCGTTCGTTATGAGAATGACGAAAAATCACTAGAGAAAATCATTCGTGCATTCCAGTTGATGACGATCAGCCACAATGAGATTTTATTTATTCCCACATTACTCATTAATAACGTCTGACTATATGACCAGATACTACTCGAAACAAGCGTGAGAAAAAGCAAGAACAGAAACATGAAACCGGGAACAAGACTGTTGCAGTGGGAAGGGGCACAACGGACGCAATTGATTCACATGACGATGACAATCCATGATGACTAGATAACAAGTACAATATTCATAAATATGCATATTCACGCATGGCTGTGCATAAACATAAATGGATCGCAAATGAATAAATATTCTAAATCACTCAAGCGAAACGATAGCCCAGCCATCAACCTTTTATGCTAAATGACTACACTAATCAAGTAATAAATAAGAAGCAAATCGATACAACACCTCTTCCATAATAGTTTCACGATAATAGTGATTCGAAACTATGAAAAAGAGATGGCCTATCGCTAAACAAAATACGAATCGGTCATCTTGAAGTATTCTTCAGTGGATATATCCATTGATCAACTATAAACTAGACTGAATCATTCCATATTCTTTCGAGAGTGCCTTTGGACATAAGCATTCAAACTTATAATCGAATGGGTGCGATGCGTCAAAATATTCATCTCTTTTCTTGTGGGGAATATTATGTGAGTGATCAGTATAAAATATAGAGTTCATGAATACAGCACGGTTTTAGTTTAGGCAAGCACTTTTACTGGCATAATTTTCCAAAACCTTACAAAACAACGGCAAGCACCTGATTTTTTTTTCGCTTTTTATGTCAGCTGAACTGATGCAATTAAACAGAACATAACAATTCAAGAACGGATAACACTAATGAACAACTGAATGGCACACGAGAGCTAAATCGGAGCCATATGATGAAAATTTTCTGCTTGAACTGATGAAGTTTAAAAAAATTGAAATTAGAGAAGAACGATCAGTTTGATAAAGTTGGTGAAGAAGTTTTTGAAAAATCTGAGAAGTGATGGCAATCAAAACATGACGAGTAAATCTAAAATTTCATTGAAATTCAAAATTCAATGACTTATAGATTAACATTATCGTGCTTCTAGCAATAAGCAACGCTGACTTGCTGTCTATATGACATCTGACTAGTGTCTGCAAAGTGGCAACCATTTTTCAATGGCAGGATTGGAATTAAATACACTGAGACCGCTCTCCAATCCTACGTTAGATAATTTCGCGATTCATTTGCATTAGAAATACTGAACATTCATTAGAAAATTCATGTACATTAGACGTAATGAACACATTGTTCTTCAATCAGTGCATCGACAATCAGCTGATAAACAATCTATTCAATAAATCATACCGTAACACGATTTCAAAATCTGCAGACAAAGCATCAACACGGCAGCAAAACTACCATTCAGTTATAACATCGACGATCAAATTTTGTTCAACAACATCCTAGTTTTTTTGCTGCGTTGGGTTACTTCACGGTATATGTTTAGGTTGTTAATTTCTGAGGAAAAGCAAGTCTCACGCATTCCTCGTCAACATTTCCTGTTGAAAAACTCAAGTTTAAAACTCATTAAAATAGTGAATATGAACAAGTGATTCAAGATGAGTATAGTACTAAAGTTACTTAAAATGTCATCTTTCATTACTTTCTAGAAAAATATATATCGCAAGATCGGAACAACGATTCAGTGATTAACGTTCCGAAATCACATGCAAACCCTATACGTAACATTCACGCAGTTCGAAACGATGCAGCGCATTAAATGCATTTTAACGTTCGAAATGTAGTAGTCATAATAAAATGCTTGCATAATAGACGAGTCACCGCTCTCATCCACATTACTCATTCCAGTCACAGGAAAACATATTATATTATATTGGTTGTGGTGTTTTCATCAGTGGCGAAATGTTGTATGAATTTGCATGATTTTAATGAAAATGAATAAATTCATTACCTAATTTATCGCTGATTCATCGATTTATCATAAACATTTGCGACAAACACCGTTGAGAATAAGGCTAATGATGTAGCGACGTAACATTCTGAAACAGCAGCCACTAGCAACCTTCAATAGAGCACCTCGGTTAGAAATCAACTCAAAATACAAACTGAAATTCACAAAAACTCAAGTCTANAGATTCTTTGCTGCTTTCAGATGCAATATGGCATTGGATCGAAGCAGCGAAAATGTGCAGCACTTAAGCGAGATTAAGCAATAAATTAGCGTGCAAAACATTCGCAACAAAACACATTCAACTGCTCTTGAAATGTGTTTGATCGATTTGCATTGATTCGGTGAAATGTTTTTACCGTTCATGTTATTTGGATCATTCGCATCCTATGCACATAACGTAACTGATATCTTTGACAAAACTCAGCAAAGATTGATGACGTCTTCTTGAAGTTTGCAAGGTTCACTGCAGCGAATTGAAGCAATGAGCAGTTTCATTGAAAACCAATTGATCGTTCGATGATCTGATGAACGTTCGATCAGTTCTTCAAATCATTAACTGTGATTTAACGATGTAAACTCCATTCCAAGTAATATAATGATTTCTGTCGAGCATGAATGTGAACGAAAAGTGCAAATGGAAGGATTCATTGCAATTAATAAATGTCCTGAAAAGACCTCAAAGTACAGTAATCACAATTATGAAAGAGAAGTAATAGTTCGAATCCGGATGAGTTCAAAAACCACAATTTTGCTTGTCTGAGTTATTGGAGAGACCTTAATTGCAATATTCTCGTGAGAATTTTTACCAGCTCGCCAATGAGTAATGATGATGCAGGAATTTTTTGAAAGCCTCAATTTGTGCTGCTTAATTATGATTGATTAAATGACGCTCTTGTCGACAGCTATCTATCACTCAAACCTTTCTGCATGCATTTGAGCAGATTGAAAATCACATCAAACGACACTACGCGATTTCTCGTCATTAATTGATACAGCTCAATTTGTGATCAGTTGATATTAACTGATGGTCACTTGGACAACCCACTTTTGGATGAGCGTGCTGAGAGAAAGAGCAAAAGTAAAATGCTAGGCTCTAACTGCTGAATTTCATGTAAGTACTCCAGTAAATTTAACGAGATATTTACACGGAAATAAATCGTACTATTCGTGAATTTGCTGGAATAAATTTTGATTTAGAGCAAGGAACATTATGAAACATGCAGAAATTGCCTTTAAGATATCGTAAAACAGTCGTCTGTTCATAAATGTATTATCAATCGTAAGTATATGACGGACTGCTGGTCAATGCTAAAAAAAAATGCAGCAAAAGCGATAATAAATTCAGCACTCATTATTCACAAAAAAAACTTTCGATGGAAAAGGAACACCGCTCGCTTTTTCAATTGAGTTTGATTTGAGGCGCATTTTGCATTACTTCTCTTATAATCAAAGAAATCGAATGAATAAACTTCTTACGAAGCACGAATTAAAATCAGTAAGATGTGATTTTGAGGCAAGAAGGGGTGTTACCGATGCAGAGAGATGACGCTACGCTCACACCAGTTGACATTTCCTCGAAGCCTAACTACTCTCAAACTTCTCGATTATCATCTTCAAGTCAATTATGGAAGAACGACTGAGCAATACGAAGGAACCAATAAAACATTACGTTAGCCTTCAAAGTCAATATACATATGTATAGGTGATGTAGATAGACAAATGATAATAACGTTGGCGAGTCAATAAATTTATGTATACTGGAATTTGAAATCTGATGAAATCTGCGAAAGGATGAAAGGAATTAAGAAATTAGCCACAAAATAATCCACCTGTGAACCCAAATGAAAATTATTCTCTGTGTCTGTTTCTAGTGCTAAATATCGTACTTCAGTTACGGTTGATTTTATGTGAAGAGGTTTATAGCACAACTATTTTTAACGTAACATATTGAATTGAGAATGTTAATGCTGCACTTAAGAAAAAACGTGTTGTGCATTTAGAAAAGAGAACATCAAGAGGAAATACGCGAAAAGAAACACAAATAGACATTCTTCTAATTTAACA